GTCTGGGGGAATAATGAGTGCAGCAAGTACTACCTCTGTCTGGGTGAGTGCTGTTGAGGGCAGCAAGTACCACCTCTGTCTGGGTGAGTGCAGCAAGTACTACCTCTGTCTCTTATACACATCTAGATGTGTATAAGAGACAGATTGCATATTAAAATTTTATCTTTTATCTGAATGCAATCAAATTTGGCTTTGTGTTGTCCATCACATTAAAATTTGTAGCTAGTTCTGGCTATAAAGTTTGCGGTTGTCAGCTTATCATCTATGCAGGAGTCTGCAATATAGTTGCTCTCTAATTCTCGATCAGCAAAGTTGCTCTCTAATTCTCGATCAGCAAAGTTGCTCTACAATTCTCGATCAGCAAAGTTGCTCTCTAATTCTCGATCAGCAAAGTTGCTCTACAATTCTCGATCAGCAAAGTTGCTCTCTAATTCTCGACCAGCAAAGTTGCTCTACAATTCTCGATCAGCAAAGTTGCTCTCTAATCCTCGATCAGCAAAGTTGCTCTCCAATTCTCGATCAGCAAAATTGCTCTCTAATTCTCAATCAGCAAAGTTGCTCTCTAATTCTCAATCAGCAAAGTTGCTCTCTAATTCTCGATCAGCAAGTCGTCAGTCGCCATCATGCAGTCGTGCTTGGTTGACGCTGCCGTTCTCGCGCTAACAGCACTAGTGGTCACTACGCAAGCCAACTCTACATTTTCGCCAGGTAATTTTAATCCTTTATGACATGAACTCGCAATAATTCCATTTGTTTGTTGTGAGAAGCGCTTTCGAAATTGAGTTTTTTTCTCAATATAGCCATAAGTCGTTTTAGAAATTGACATTTTCTTTGCTAATCTACTAAGTCTAAGTTATTTTCGTTACGTGTTTAATTTTTCTTCAAGATATCGCAGCCTATGACTATGACCATTTATTTTGGAGATGGAATTGATAGATTGAAAATTGCTTATTTATTTATTTATAAATAAATAAGTAATATTTATTACAATTTTATCTCTAAGTTTGCCGACTAGTGGACAATTGCAATAAATTGTCACAGATGCCGTTTTTACATGTTATGAACATTCGAAAAATGCAAATTTCAATCGGACTCCCAAGTCCCAACAAATATATATTTTACGAACAGACGACCGTTATAGGATGACTCAACCGGGATCGTGGTCTGCAAGCAAAGTAAAAACTCAAATCTAAGCTGTCTTACGTTTATAATTTATTATGCTAATGCAGAAACTAATATAATTCGAATGTCGATGTGCATCAAATCAATCTTTCAGCCGTTTGCCGGCCCAGTTTCTATTTTTTTTTTAACACCGCGAGTTTGCTGTTCATATCTGAATATTTTAATTTTATTACGTTGTGCAACATTAGAAAGGTAAAATGTTTCACGTAAAAAGGGTTTAAGCACAAACATTTTTACACTGAAGACAGCTTCCACAACCCATTTGCCCTGGCAAGCACTTGGTAATCGAACGTGCCCTACATAGAGTCGAGTCACCACCTAGCAGATACCGGCTCGACAGTGTTTACAAATGGAAATTAAAGTCAACTTCCCCATAACGATATTCCCTTTGTATGGCAAAATCTTACCTCACAAACAACGTATTGTAAAAAGTTTAAATAGAAACCGAGAAAAAAACTACAAGTCTAAGCGTGCTTGTGGGAAAACATGGAAAGTTTTTTTTTTTTTTGTCCGGAAGCGACAACTGCGCTTTCCTTTCCGCGACCTAATTTACTGGCGACTTTCAAGCTGTGCTCTGGAGAGATCGCTACTGTTCTGCGGGGAGAGGGGTGGGGGAGTTTAGGAGGTAGGTTGGGGTTAGGGATGTCTATTCGGATGATGATAAACCATTAAAATGAAGGAATAAGGAGGTATGGATGGGTTGGGGGTGTGTAGCGTGGTGAACAAACTCAAAAATGGGGGTTTAACGGTTGAAGGTTAAGTTAAGGGGTATTTAGACTGATGAGGAAACGGTTAAGATGAGGTGTTTACTGGTTTAGGATGAGGTTGTTGCTAAATGGCGGTATTTANTACTAAGTACTAGCGCTAAGTACTAGCGCTAAGCACTAGCGCTAAGTACCAACACTAAGTACTATATCTTTAGTACTGAAACCATATTCAACTCAACATTAATAACTTACTTTCACTCTCCACAGAGGGGGAAGTGTATGAGTTCAAGTGCTCCGTCAGTTTGCTCTTCGACATCAACAGACAAATCTGCGATTTCAAGAGCAACGTCTTCAGCTGCGACGTGCGAATGCGTGAGTAACTCGTGTCTTTACCCATCTTTCTTGGCCCGCTGGCTATGCCTTTACTCATGCCCATACCTTCACTTTTCCCATACCTTAACCCGCGCATTAACCCATAAGTTCACTCATGTTCAGGGTCCATGCACCCAAGATCAGTTCCGCAATCATGCTGTCTCTCATGCATTCACACGAACGAAGCTTAATGAGCCATATTTCAGTAAATTTAACTTAAACGAGTGTTTAAGGCGGGTTCTCACTTTCAATTTAGAAGTTACTTAAGAAAAATTTATCTCTCAATTTTTCATCTAAATCGATCTCTATCTCAGAGGTTTACTTCACTGCATCCCCTAAGCCTAGATTCCCAAGTGAAGCATACCTTTTCACCGGGAAAATGACGTTGAATCAACGTTAAATTAAACGTTATTTCAACGAATTAACTTTAGTTAAACGTTTTTTCAATGTCATTTGCTTGAGGGAAGGTTGTTACCCCCAAGAGTTCTCATCTAATCCCCTACTCCTCCCCCCCCCCAACAGAGGTGACAACAGCCAAGCCGCTGTTGAGCACCGACAACCCCATATGTCCCCCTGGGGAGCTGGCCTGTGGGGATGGCGTGTGTCTTCCCCGACACCTCTTCTGTGACGGCCATGTTGATTGTGATGACGAGAGTGATGAGGGATGGTGTGGTGAGTTCATCGTCCAATGTCATGCTTATATAATCACGTCCAATGCACATCATCATCATGTTCACTGCACCACATCATCATGTTCACTGCACCACATCATCATGTTCACTGCATCACATCACCATGTTCACTGCAACACATCATCATGTTCACTGCATCACATCATCATGTTCACTGCATCACATCATCATGTTCACTGCACCACATCATCATGTTCACATCATCACATCATCATGTTCACATCATCACATCATTATGTTCACATCATCACATCATTATGTTCACATCATCACATCATGTTAGTAACACAACTTAGTTCCAAAATACGTTTAAAATCATTAATATGATAGTGTGCCCAGCGCTGTTTTGCCTCCTCCTGACCTTTTATTTTTTTATTCTTCTCTCTGGCCATTCATTGTCCTTCTTAATATGTTTCATACATTTTTATAATGATGCCGGATGCAATCATGTTATGAGAATCTGAGTTTGAAATAAAAAAATTACCGAGCTCAAAAAACATTGATTTATTCACACATTTTCTATAATAACGCCGGTTGCAATCATGTCATGAAAATCTGAGTTTGAAATTAAAAAATTAACAAGCTCAAAAACAAATATTTTTCATACATTTTTCTATTGACGCCGGATGCAATCATATTATCATAATCTGAGTTCGATATAAAAAAATTAACAAGCTCAAAAACATTGTTTTTTTCTTACATTTTTCTATTTAAGCCGGATGCAATCATGTTATTAAAATCTGAGTTTGAACTTTAAAAATTAACAAGCTCAAAAAAACATTCATTTTTCGTACATTTTTCTAATAACGCCGGTTGCAATCATATTATGAAAATCTGAGTTTAAAGTTTGAAAATTAACAAGCTCAAATAAGAACATCACAGCAACCTCGAGTTAAAAGTTTAAAAATAACAAGCGCAAAAACATTGATTTTTTTCATACATTTTTCTAATGACGCCGGTTGTAATCATGTTATGAAAATCTGAGTTTAAAGTTTAAAAATTAACAAGATAAAAAGAACATCACCGCAATCTCATCACTCTAATATCCCCGCCTTATCAGACGCTCATCACGATCCCAACGCGGCCAAGTTATGCGACCCGCGCAACTGCAGTCTGCCCGACTGCTTCTGCAGCAGAGATGGCACGCTGGTGCCCGGAAACCTGGAGCCTAAACAGGTGCTCTTGCCTTCTGTTTTATGCTACAACAAGAATTTTGTGTGTGGTTTGTTCGGTAGTTGAAACTGGTTTTTGTATGTGTACTGTGTGGTGCTTTAATATGGAACAAACATTTAATATGGGTGGCCCAGTGGTTAAAGTTCAGAGTATACCAAGATTGGCGCAGAGAGGCGCGGGTTCGATCCCAGCTCGGTGCGCCAGTTTCTGGTCAGAATCGGCAAGGAGGCCGGGCGGTTAAGCACAGCAGAATTGTAGCAGTGAGTTGCGTGTTCGAGACCTCAAAATGCTGTGAATTTTCTGCGATGTTAAGAATCGGCGACAGGCCTACGGCCTATAATAAACGCTGAAACCGCTATTAAAAAGAAGCTTGTGTGTGGTTTGTTTGGTAGTTGAAACTGGTCTTTGTGCGTGTACTATGTGGTGCTTTAATATGTACAAAAAGAATCTTGTGCATGTGTGGTTTGTTCGGTAGTTGAAACTGATCTTTGTGCGTGTACTGTGTGGTGCTTTAATATGGTAGAAAAAGAAGCTAGTGTGTGCGTTGTACGGTAATTGAAACTGGTCTTTGTGTGTGTACTGTGTGGTGCTTTAATATGGTACAAAAGAAGCTTGTAAGTGGTTTGTTCGGTAGTTGAAACTGGTCTTTGTGTGTACTGTGTGGTGCTTTAAACAGGTTTTTTAGTGTGTAGTGCTCCAGACAGGATAATGTGTCTTTTGGACGTCATCACCTCCATGCTTCGCTATATTCCAGTATAGCGGCGAAACGATTCGGTGTCTGAGGAGTTCAAACTTGGTGCCGTTGGATTTTATGTATTTTATATATATCAATAATATATTATAATATTTTATCATTCGCATGTGACGTTGTAGGTTAGGTATTCAGACCCAAATCTATGTTAGCAATTTCGATGAGGTATGGGATTGGTCAAAACACCAAACCTCGTGAATTATACTAGGCGATTCTTACCAGTCTCTGGGCTCGGTTGAATTGCAAAACATTCATGTTTGTTCATGAAACTAGCTGATTCGGTTACATAACTTAAAATACAATAAAAATATAACTAATTTACAGTAAAAATACTTACACTATTTTGTAATGAATTGCTCATTTTAATGTTATTACAACGATGCATGCAGGTACCACAAATGATCACGATAACATTTGACGACGCAGTCAACAACGAGAACTGGGAGCTCTACGAACGTCTCTTCATGAAGGACCGTAAGAACCCTAACGGCTGCCCTCTGCACGCAACGTTTTACGTGTCGCACGAATTCACGAACTACGCATACGTGCAGAAGCTGTGGAACCTCGGGCACGAAATTGCCGTGCATTCAATCACGTGAGTTGATTTCATGCACGTTTATCAGGATCGGGAAGTGATATGATAAATCCGAGACATCTGCAATTTTGTAAAATTTTCTCAAGTTTAATGTCTGAAAGTTTACACTCGCAATGACCTGATATTGAATTTTTGTAATTAATTCTGATTTGATGAATAGATTATATGGAATAAATGCAGTGTGATTAGCCATGAAATTCAAAGTAAAAATAACCGATATAATGGGTCATCCCGACATTTAATTTGTCTGTTAATGAATAGAATAAGCTTCACATATGATGAACGTCTTTTGGAGAAAATATATTGACATTATAAATGTATATTGGTAGGTATGTATAGTGACAGTATTCACGTCTATTGCACAGTATACTGGGTTCATAAGTAATATTTATTGAGAAGTTACTGATGAATGATCCGATCGCTGGTTACAGACATCGCGGTCCTGAGAGCTACTGGATATTGGTAGGTATGTAGTGACAGTATTCACGTGTATTGGACAATATACTGGATTCATATGTAATGTTTAATTAGAAGTTACTGATGTATGACCCGATCGCTGGTTACAGACACCGCGGTCCTGAGAGCTACTGGAGCCACAACGCCACCATCGAGGACTGGTTCGATGAGTTCGTAGGACAGGCCAACATCATCAACAGATTTGCTGTAGGATGGAGGATTTGTGGGGTGAGGGGGAGCTGGGTGGAGGATTTGTGGGGGTGAGTGATGTCGCCATCACCACTAAGATGGATGGTTTAATGAAGGATATGGCCCAAACACACCCATCCATATGAGAGGAGGGCAGGATGGGGGATTCATGGGGTGAGGGGGGCAAGATGGAGGATTTGTGGGGTGAGGGTGAGGCAGGGAGGAGGATTTATGGGGTGAGTGATGGCTCCAGGATGGATGGTGTAATGATGGATATGGACCAAACTCACCCATCCATACACATGTATTAAACACGAATTCCTCGTGTGAAATGCTTCCAACCCTTACCTCTCCCCAGGCCAACGTCCCCTTATTTCCCTCGAGTTTTACTTAATTTTTAAGTATAGTTAAATTACTTTCATTTTTCAGTATAGTTGAATACTTTACTTGAATTTTTAATATAATTTAATACGTTATTTTAATTTTTAAGTATAGTTGAACACTTTACTCGAACTTTTAAGTATAGTTTCATAATTTACTTGATTTTCAGTATAGTTGAAAACTTCACTCGAATTTTTAGGTATAGTTGAACACTTTACTTGAATTTTTAATTACAGTTGAGTAGGTACTTTATTTGAATTTTTAAGTATAATTTAATACTTTACTTCAATTCTTAAGCATAGTTGAATACTTTACTTGAATTTTTCAGTATAGTTTAGCACTTTACTTGGAATTTTCAGTATAGTTGAATACTTTACTTGAATTTTTCAGTATACGTAGGTGAATACTTTACTTGAATTTCTACTTAATACTTGAATTTTTCAGTATAGATGAATACTTTACTTGAATTTCTACTTAATACTTGAATTTTTAAGTATAATTGAATACTTAACACGTTGACTACGATTGCTTCATCTAGTACTTTTATTTCATTTTTTGTACTTATTTTTAAGCAGGGTTGCCAGACGGTCATTTTTCCGGACAAATTCCGTGATTTAGTTTGCTCAATTGCGTTGGCCAGATAAAATTTATGATAAGGGTACTTCCTAATTAAATTTTAAATACTGAAAAAGAAAATAAATTGAATTTTTATAGCGGAACCTACAAATAAACTAGTATACATTGAATTCTCGGCCTTTGTTGGCCTTTTTTGTTTTTGGATTGGCCGATTTTAGGTAACCTGAATTATGTATCACTACCTCCTGGAGAAATACATTTCGTGGTACGCATATGTATCAATACGTAGTCAACGTGTTAACCTTATTTTTCCATGTAGTTGAACACTTTACTTGAAGTAAGCCCGTGTGCAGGTGTCCGTGTACCGTACCTCCGTGTAGGCTGGAACAGACAGATGATCATGATGCGGGAGTTTGGCTTCGTGTACGACTCCTCGATGGTGGCCCCGTTCTCGGACCCCCCGCTGTGGCCCTACACCCTCGACTACCGCATCCCACATACCTGCATCGGTACCGGCCAACGCTGCCCCAGCCGGTCCTTCCCCGGCATCTGGGAACTCGTCCTTAATCAGCTCAAGGCGGGGGTGAGTGTGTCCTTCATCCTGTGGAAGAGTGTGGGGCTAGGAAAAATGGGTTATGAATGGTCAAGGGGAATAGTGTGATGTTGCAGCCTAGGACGCCGGCTGATGCACAACCAAGTCATGATGGAAGGTGTGTCGAGGTTTGGACAAGGAAGTCTTTTGGTTGTGGGAGAGAGGGGAATGTGGGGAGAGTATATATGAGTCACTATATAACTTTAGATGATGTGTATAGGAGAGTAATGGGTTTATAGGAGGCTGCCTCTGTATGAGGTTTGTTCGGTTTCAGGAGGCTTATGATTCTACCAGTTTTTAAGATTGATAGTATAATGCAGTTGGAGTATGAGAAGTTCTCGATGTTTTTGAATGTGGTGATACCAAGTGGGTCCAGATACTTAATTGTGGTGTTCAATTAAGGCTTATATTTTGGCTGCTGTATTATGCAATGGGAGAATATGAGTAGGTTCTTGATACTTTACGACTGAACTGAAATCGCTACACAAATTTATCCACATAAACTGCAAAGACTAACCTCCTTCAATCCACTCGATGACTGTTGTATCCCCCCTCGCGGCCCCTCCAGGAATACACATGCGTCATGTTGAAAAAAAAAACGAGTAGGTTCTTAATAGTTTCTGAGTAAACTGAAATCGCTGCACAAATTGATGCACATAAACCGCAAGGACTAACCTTCTTTCATAGTCCTATCCCCACGATGACTGTCGTATCCCCCTCGCCCCCTACAGGAGTACACATGTGCCATGTTGGATCAATGTCCCCCTTTCCACGACGAGGACCAGGTGTTTGAGTTGCTCATGCACAACTTCCACCGCCACTACAACTCCAACAGAGCGCCATACGGCCTATTCTTCCACACCATCTGGTTCAAGTATAAGAAAAACCAACGCGCCTTCGAGGTAATACATTTTTTGAGAATGAAAGAATAGTATGTTGTTATTAAGCTCTTAGAATAGAATAGAATAGAGGTGTCGGCACTGAACTCTTAAGGATGAAAGAATAGTTATTAGTTATTATTAAAATGAAAAAAACCAACGCGCCTTCGAGGTAATAAAGCTTTTGAGGATGAAAGTATAATTATTATTTGTTATTAGAATGAAAAAAACCAGCGCGCCTTCGAGGTAATAAAGCTCCTGAGGATGAAAGAATAGTTTGTTGTTATTAGGATGAATAGTTATTTTGTTACTGATATTGGTGATGAAATAGATATCTTCGTCTAGTTTCGTGTGATTGAATTGAGCTTATATGTCAATTCTGTGTCGAAATTAGATTATCCTGCAATTTTATTTTTGTTCTCATGCAATCGAATGTAAATTTCTTAAATTTTTTATTATTACCCAATACTTTGAACGCAACGCGTGACACGTAAAACCATTTTAATTTTTATCGCTCCTGGTCTAATTTATCACCAATTATAGTTCATCTTTACCCTGCATTTCCCGATAATTCATCGATACTCGTGGGTTATAATTACTAATTTTCATCACATTAATCAATACTTATAATTCATCGATATTCGTTGATTTTAATTGCTAATTTTCATCACATTCATCACCACTGATAATTAATCGATACTCGTTGATTTTTAATTACTAATTTTCATCATATGGTGGGTTTTAATTACTAATTTTCATCGCATTAATCACCAGCGTTTCCTGGACGCGATGGCTAAGCTGCCCGACGTGTTCATCGTCAATAACCAAGAAGTTATTTCCTGGATGAGGGAACCGACGCCCGCCTCGCAAATAAACACCTTCGAGCCGTGGAAATGTGGCAAGCAGGTGAGGGGAGTGTGGCAGGTGAGGGGAGTGTGGCGGGTGAGGGGAGTGTGACAGGTGAGGGGAGTGTGGCAGGTGAGGGGAGTGTGGCAGGTGAGGGGAGTTGAGGGGAGTGTGGCAAGCAGTAACACCAATATTACATCACATTACAGTACATGTGTATTATACAAATTTGGTTGAAAAAAATTCCATTTTAATTTAAAATTTCTTTACAGTTTATTTTCTTTTCTGTCGATTAACAACTCTGATTATCTTATTACACAAGTAAAGAAACTGAAGTCTTATGAAGTTCTACGTAAAAATGATTATCTTTTTAAGTAAACTTGAGTGAATGATGGGTTTTACCCTAATGCAAGTGTATAATAAGATGAAAAAAAACAAGAACATTATCAATAAAATGCATTCCGTGGTCTCCAATTAAACTTGCATAAAGTATTTAATAAAGATTATTACAGTATACATTACAACCTTGCCTATACAGTATACAGTGGTGAGGGGAGTGTGGCGGGTGAGGGGAGTGTGGCAAGCAGTAACGCCAATAATACATCACGTTACAGTACTCGTATAATATACAAATTTAGTTGAAAAAATTTTCATTTTTATTTAGAATTTCTTAAAAGTTTATTTTCTTTTGTGTCGATTAACAACTCTGGTTATCTTATTGGACAAGTAAAGAAACTGAAATCTTATGAAGTTCTATGTAATAATTTTCGTTTGAGGAACGAAAACAATCTAATTAGAGCTCGGAGTTTTAGGCTGTTTGCTTTGAACATTTTAAAGCTCTATTTGATCTTTGGATTGTTTCTTCCTCGAATTTAATCGTAGCGATAAAGAAAAAGGAAGATAATCAGATGAAAAAAAACAAGAAAATTATAAAAAAATGCATTCCGTTGTCTCCAACTAAACTTGCAAAAAGTATTTAATGAAGATTATTACAGTATACATTACAACCCTGTCTATGCAGTACCTATACAGGTTATAACAGCATGTATTACAACCTTGTATATACAGTATACAGGTTATTACAGTTTATATTACAACCCTGCCTATACAGTATACGGGCTATTACATACAGTACATATTACAACCCTGCATATACAGGTTTTTACAGTGCATATTACAATCCTGTATATACGGTACCGGTTAGTTTGTGTGTATTACAACCCTGTATATACAGTATACAGGTTATTACAGTATACAGGTTATCACAGTACACATTACCACCCTGCCTCATTACTGTGTGTATTACAACCTTGTATATACACTATTCAACTTATTACATTTTATACAGTTTACTACAGTATATACAGGTGTTACAGTATAAACATGTTAAGACAGTGCTCATTACCACCCCACCCTGCTCCAGGTGCCCATGGAGGACAAGGCGTGTAACCTGGAGGAGGTGTGTAAGCTGCGCAGTCCCGCGGTGCGGGGTGACCGCTGGCTGCATACCTGCTTTGAGTGCCCCCAGGTCTACCCCTGGATCAAGAACGAGTTCGGCATTGATCTTAAATAAGTTTATTAAATAATAATATTTAAAAGTTATTTCTTGTATTCCACTTGTATTTTACTCTATATTTATATAAAATATATATAATATATAAAAATATATTATATTTTTTTACTCTATATAAGTCTATATTAAATATTATTATTTTAAAAGTTATATCTTGTATTTCAATTGTACTTTAAATAGGTCTATATTAAATAATAATATTTAAAAGTTAGATCTTGTATTCCACTTGTACTTTAAATAAGTCTATATTTAATATTATCATTTTAAAAGTTATTTCTTGCATTCCACTTGTACTTTAAATAAGTCTATATTAAATATTATCATTTTAAAAGTTATTTCTTGCATTCCGCTTGTACTTTAAATAAGTATATATTAAATATTATCATTTTAAAAGTTATTTCTTGTATTCCACTTGTACTTTAAATAGGTCTATATCAAATATTAATATTTTATACGTTATATCTAGTATTCCACTTGTACTTTAAATAAGTCTATATTAAATATTATCATTTTAAAAGTTATATCTTGTATTCCACTTGTACTTTAAATAGGTCTATATTAAATATTAGTATTTTATACGCTATGTTTAGTATTCCAATTGTACTTTATTAATTTCCTACGCGATATCGAAAGAATATTTATAAATGGCGATTCTATGAATATTAGTGTTTTCGAAAATGTATACCGATATTACTAGAAAATTATGTTTATATCATATGTTAATAGAGGCATTTGTTCATGACATTGTAAAACATATATTGAGTCGTAATTTGTAATGGGAATAAGTCCAGCCTATGCCACCACACAAAATGTGATATCTAATTTATTGTTAGAACTATAAACTCTTTGAAATGTTATTATTTTAAACCCATTAGAGACCAATTTTCTTACGAGTGCAAATCACCATATTGCATCCATACCACGTTGTTGAAATTTAACTATAAAAAATATTGCAGGTGATTAATAAGTCCAAAAATTAAAGTTATTCATACGGAAAAAACATTTTGAAATTCGACTTATGTGTCTACAGCTAGACGCTAAAGTCATAAACTTTATTAAATTTTATTATAAGCTTAGGAAGAACGTTCTCATGTCTGCTGTATGACCTGTTATACGATAACTTTATCTGTTATTATATTGAACCCTGTTTTGTTCTGTTATAGTTTGCTCTCTGTTTTCTGTTTTGTCCTGTTATACTTCGCTCTCTATTTTCTGTTTTGTCCTGTTATTCGTTGATATCTGTTATATGTTCTGTCTTGTTACACTTCGCTCTCTGTTTTCTGTTTAGTTCTGTTATACTTCGCTCTCTGTTACCTGTTTTGTCCTGTTAGGCTGTTATACTTTGATATCTGTTATATGTTCTGTCTTTTTATACTTCGCTCACTGTTAGCTGTTTAGTCTGTTATATGTTATATCTGTTATATGTTGTTTATGTTCTGTCTTGTTATACTTTACTCTCTGTTACCTGTTTTGTCCTGTTATACTTTGATATCTGTTATCTGTTATATGTTCTGTCTTTTTATACTTATATATCTTGTTAACTTCGCTCTCTATTATCTCGTTCGCAATAAAATATTTCGCACATATTTTTTTATTTAGACTGGATCCTCTAAGCGAAAACCCAAAATTTCCACGACACTTTGTTGCATTTCACCGTGCCTGTGAATGCGACTCAAATGTAGGCTTCTAAGGCGAGTTTAATACAGATAAATTAGAGCAGATCTATCGTCAACATTTATAAGTAGTTATCCCTCAAAATAAATTCTCAGAAAACGAACTAAACTGAAGTGAAGGCTACTTCTAATCCTGCATCGGCCGCCGGGTAGCAACAACCTCGGAGCAATCAAACGTTTAGATGAAAGTTGTTTCAGTTGCCATAGGAAATAAAAAACACACGCTAGTAACATATATCGTACAATATAATTCCTGTTTACCAAAAAAACACCATTTCGTTGTATACAATCATAACTCCTTGGAACCTTTTTTGAACCTCCTTACATATTGACATTTAATTATTATAACTTCCCGCAACGAATATGACATTGACTAAATTTTCAATTTTGACATAAATGTACTGAATAATGCAATTTATGCGACACTATTCCTTGAAATTCCTCAGTGTGCGTCAATTCTCCCCTAGAAAATTCCTCACTGGTGTTAGAAATATCAGGAGGTGTCGGGGGTGTCTTAGCACCGCTATACTGATTCATGTTTTACACAAGATCACAGCATTTCGAAGATTTTTCGGTATAAATTTAATGCTGAAAGCTTCACCTGGATGAACCTAAAAATTAATAACTTCAATTTTATCTCTAAGTGAGTAATTATTATCGAAATATTAATTTTACTGATATACTGGTTAGTGGTGTCTGGCATGTTTTGTACTTCACTGAAATCCTTACCACAGATGAGAGAAAGTTCAACATTTGTCTTAACCAAATTAATAACAATATTAGTGGAATGAAGATTGAACAACTATTCATGTTAAATTTTCACTATGAAACGTTTGATCGGATAAAAATAGTTGACATGTAAATAAACAATGAAACTCAATAAAGAATTGTGAAGTCACCCAGACGTGCACATGTGCTCAACAAACTCGCCCGCTTAGCCTGCTGACTGCCGTCTCATTCATTACGTCTAGGAACGTTGCGAAGGGAGGGTGTAGCCACAAAACTCGTGGAAATGTAATTATTGAGCTCCCCGCATCGCATACATTTTTTCTGCGACTCTTGAACATTATCTTAGTGCTCAATTAAGAATGGGACATGCATTTAGGGGAAGTGCTTCTATTATTTCAGTGTGAAGAATTTTTTTTTTCTCGTGAAGACTAATGTACTGTAGCAGCTGGGCGACCCGAACCGAACCCGCGTGGTGGTGTCTCGACGACCGATGTGGACTCCAAGTATTCATCTCGTATAAGCTATACAGAACGATGCATTAGTTGTGCCCGGCCCTCTCCCATACAGAAATGAACTCAACGGTTCAGACGAACCCAGTGGAATGTTTCGATAATTCAGTGCTGGAAGCTATGCCGGTATTGTGAACGTTGAGCTTCAAAGCTTGACATTTTTGTGCCGTGAATTGCTTGGGTGCGATATTATATTATGATTTTTTTCGGGTAGGATAGGAAGACTATTTCATAATGATTACGCTGCTCAAAGGATCGGTAAAACGTTTTTTATGTATATTGTGTGAAAGGAACCAGGTATTATTGCAGATTAACTACATCCAAAAAAAGGGTGTTTTTTTTTTGAATTATATGTTTTTTGGGGTGTAGATTACGAATCTGAAATCCATTTTTGGCGGTCGGCATCGGAAAACCGATTTTTTTTTCGACCCAAAAATCGCGCTACATCTTGAATGAAACTTACCCGTTGCACTGCAACGGGTAAAGAAGACGAAAATGTTACCCGTTGCACTGCAACGGGTAACATTTTCGTCTTCTTTGTCCATAAATCTGGAGATACATTGCCACATCGAGAGATCACAACCTAACGCCTACTAATTGAAGCGGGGCTGTACGTGCACTAATTGAAGCGGGGCTGCTGATGTACGCGCACTAATTGGATGTGCATTTTTGACGCTCATGTGTCTGTACTCGAGAACAAAAAGGCGTCTGTTCTCGCCTGTTATCTTATGCTCTGTTATCTACTCCGGCTAACCAACACTCGTTATCGCTTCCAATTCCTTTTTTTTCAATTTATTTTTACGAGTGTTTTGTTTCTTCAAGGGTTCGCGGAATTTGCGTTCAGCTGTGAAAACTTATTATATTTCAATGAGAACACACACTAAACACTTGATGAACTTCTACGAACGCAGCAAAACTTGATTCTCTCAACGTACTCACACAACATAACATTCACACGCAACTTGAAATGCTCTGTTTAAAATGCTCCATAATCTTTCAAGCATACCTCAATATACCTCATAAACTTGCAACACCATGCCGCGATACCATACTCTTTTGGTACAATATGCATTAATACAAAGTCCAGTCTCCTATGAATTCACATGTATGGCTGCGAAGCCCATAATAATAATAATATCAATATTAAGGCCACTAAATATTAATCCATTATTCGTCCTCGATCGTCTGGCGCGCGTCTCTATACTCTGCCGCCGTAATACCGCAAAAGACCTTAAGATTCTACCAGGCATCTAGTACCCAGAGTTTGAGTAGTGACACTAACCCAAGGCCATGCTGCATGCACCACTTTCAACGGCTGTCATGCAAGCTCCGCCCATCAGCGAATCCTAGAACTGAGTTTGCCAAGGCTGGAACCCACTAATGCCGCCCCTCAGTTATAGTTTATGATAAAATAGTTCTGTTGATTAGGTAATTCATGTTAATATTTTGTGTATTAATTTTGTGTATTTTTTGGTCAATTATATGCATGCAATTCTATTTTAATGCCTTGTTTTTTTTTTTTGTGCAGAACAAATTTACTATTATTTCTCATTTTTATTCCTTAGGTCGGCCAGTCGGCCTGTTACTTCGAATGAAATTCAATCGAAACTCGAACGTTGATCTTAAGGCTTACATTTTTGCGTAATGCATCCACTAATTGTATTTATATAAAATTAGGATGTTCTGAAAATTTCGCTTTTTGTACGGGTTTAGACATTCATTAAATGTAAGTCAACGACTCATTTAAATGAGATCTTAAAAAGTCAATAGCTTGCTGATGTAAATAACGACCGGTGATGAAGAATTCGCATTTAAGATACCAGTGATAACTGCTCCAAATTTAAGATACAATCGATAAGTGTTTGTGTCTTACGTCTGGGAGACAGCATCGATAAGTATTTGTGTCTTACGTCTGTGAGACAGCAGCGATAAGTGTTTTTGCCTTACGTTTGTGAGACAGCAGCGATAAGTGTTCATGTTTTTTTTTCAAAAAATCGTCACCTAGTGCATGAAATTCAAAACCAAATAAATGAAGTGTCTCTGAATGTTGCGTTTGAAGGCAGTGTTGGAGGTGTTGCAGTACTCATTCCAAGTTGTCTTTAATTCAGCCGTAAGAAGGCAATCTGCGCGACAGCCATGAACTTGTAAACTTCGTGATCACCTAAAACCTCCATCGTGCCCAATACCCGGCCTCAGTCGTGCCCAATACCCAGCCCTGAGTCGTGCCCAATACCAGGCCCAATTTAGGTTATTGTAGAGCTTTGACCGGGTCAAAAATGGCTTGACAATTTCTTCCATCCCTGAAAAACAATAGACAATGGATACGGGTAGTTGTTATGTATGATAATTTTTATAAACTTTTTGAGTTCCCGGAGAAGATAAAAGGTAATTTTTGATCCGCTATTCGTGATGGAGTCTTCGCAGTGTCCACGTGTCCCCCCTCCTCATGGGGACATGGAAACAGATCCCCATCATTCATCCCCACATCCCCAACGATCTTACGTACAATTTCAAGTTGGGGGTCTAACTCAAGCTCAAGTTCCAACTCAAGCTCATAGTGAATCTCGAAACGAATACCCTCTTGCTTGCAGTTTTCCAGCTTGTGATACCTCTGCTGGTGGTTCCAAGTGTACTAACCACGCACATCTTAGCACTAGTACTGTACAACCTAGCTCTGTACACGCTGGTTCTGCATACGCTGGTTCTGAACACGCTAGTTCTGCACACGCAAGTTCTGCACACGCTGGATCTGCACAAGCTGGTTCTGGGTGGAACACAGAAACCATACACAGTTATTCTAGTGCAGGCATTGACATTAGTGACTCTAGAATGCCTTGTCAGAAGCCTATCCTACCTCAAGATAGATGTGCTCTATCACCAAGATCTTGTACTAGAAGTCCAACCCTTCTAGAACAACAGCACACTGCAGTAGCGCAACAATATCAGCAACAGCAGCAAGAGCACCAGCACACTGCAGTAGCACAACAATATCAGCAACAACAGCAAGAGCACCAGCACACTGCAGTAGCACAACAATATCAGCAACAGCAGCAAGAGCACCAGCACACTGCAGTAGCACAACAATATCAGCAACAGCAGCAAGAGCACCAGCACACTGCAGTAGCGCAACAATATCAGCAACAGCAGCAAGAGCACCAGCACACTGCAGTAGCGCAACAATATCAGCAACAGCAGCAAGAGCACCAGCACACTGCAGTAGCGCAACAATATCAGCAACAGCAGCAAGAGCACCAGCACACTGCAGTAGCGCAACAATATCAGCAACAGCAGCAAGAGCACCAGCACACTGCAGTAGCGCAACAATATCAGCAACAGCAGCAAGAACAACAGCACACTGCTGTTGCACAACAATATCAGCAACAACAGCAAGAGCACCAGCACACTGCTGTTGCTCAACAATACGAACAGCAACAGCACACTGCAGTACAACAACAATACGAACAGCAACAGCACACTGCAGTAGCACAACAATATCAGCAACAACAGCAAGAGATACGCAACAGTTTAGTGTACAAACCGCTGGACCCTCAAACAGCCTTGCCTCCTACCCAACCTCTCAGAACCCGGTCATCCAGCCCCCTTCCTAAACTTACGAACCCCGTACGTAACAATCCCCCCGAGGGGACGTTGGGTGAAGATGGGGTAACTCGCCTCCCATCCTCCGAGGCCCTTGCCCCAACCCAGTACGTGGGTCCGCCCCACGGGGCATTTCGTGGGGCAAGACAGGCTGCCCGCGCTCTTCAGCTTCCCCATGCCCACAACTACGAGCAGATCAACCTCATCGGCAACGGTGGGTGTAGTTCGACTCTACATTTCGTTTAAATATTTACATTACTATAAATACATAGTAAATATCAATATATATATACTCGTATATGATAATACATTAGTATAAATATATAGTAAATAATACTAAATATAAATAATTATATATACTCGTATATAGGATACAAGTAAAGTATAGCTCCAGGGCTCGTACTACTACTGTAGTGCCTAGTGTAGTACCTACAGTAGATAGTATAGTAGTAGTACTCACGAGTACAGTACAACGAGCACATTACCATACTAGTTTAAATGATATAATTACTTATTAAGAATTTACCAGCATAGAAAAAAAGACTAAATTCAACAATGTCTCAATTGAAACGTTTTGGAGACCAGCTTCATCACCAGTTTCATACTGTAGGAGATACAAGTAGAATCCGCAGTAAGAATCCAAATTAACCCTTAATTTTTTTGGCGTTTTCTTTATTTTTAGATTCTTGGTAAACTTGCGATTTAAGCAGACAACTGATTTAAGTAAACATTACTTACATTTTTAATTTGAATTTTTCTACACATGGTATAGGATTGGTATATGGTTCCTAATTCTTACAATTTTCTTTCACTTTAACAATAAATTTATTGGTCTTGAAAATATTGTCGCTAATCGATCGTGATTAAGATTTTGTCATCTTCATCAAAACTCTTCGGCTTTAACGTCCAACATTCAATTAATTAATATAGTCCGTTTATTTAGAACTGCTGACTGAGTTTTTTTTATCATGCACTATCAAAATTTCCGCTCTGATCGAGGCATTGGCTTATTCTCTAGCGAGACCTGAAAATGTGAATAAATTTCATATTAAACGCCGTGTTATTTGATAGGATTTTCTTCAGAATTGTGTAGAAGGATTGTAAGGTAGCAGGTATTTGTTCTGACACCGAAAATTTTAATTTAAAGTTGACAACATTTCTGATTTATTTGTCATGTGTAACTCCTTAACTTTTAATCATTAAATGCATAATATTCCTCCACAAAGCACAATGTTTAACAAGGATGATAATACAGTAATTAAGAGTCACAGAACAAATGCAACCCCACCCACCGGTTTCCTTTTATTCCATATACGCACGCTGGATGATATGATGCGTATATGAATGATATGAATGATATGAATGTCATGTGATGAATGATATACCATCAGTTATAGGGCACGCGCTGTATGGGGACTATCATTAGAATGATTGGATGGATGATAAGCATTGGCTTGAGGACTTATACGCAGTGAAAGGGTTTATATATAAATATGATATAAAATTAGAATATATAAAATACGCAGTGAAAGGATTTTGAAGCTGAAAAATCTGGATTTTTCGGAATGCCCAGTAGACAAACAACGGCAGCAAGATAGCTAATTGAAGTCTCGGTTTCTTTTAAGCAATGCCTGCAAGTTTTTTCAATAAACCAACAGCCTGATCAGGTTAAGCTCTTGCAGATACTACAACAAATATAAACAACAGATAAACATTAAACGTAGATATTTTGCCCTGACATCTCACATTGTCTTTGCAGAGTCTCTGTTGCTTGCTTAATCTTAATATTTTGGGGCAACAAAAAATAGGATTAGCTACAGTGCGAAAAAAATTGAATTCCAACAAAAAGTGTGCCAACACTTTTGCCTCTAGTATAGTAAAATTCTAAACTGCAATCAATAGACGGCCATCAAGATGGGACGCTTTACAAGGGATTCTATACTATTATTATTATACTATATTATATTATTATTAAGGGATACTATATTATTATATTATATTTACTATTCGCTGGGATTGTTTAAAATTTCAGGACGGGAAGCTGACGTTTTCGGTCATCTGAAATGTAGCTTCACTGCCAGCAGAATTGTTGTCTGTGGAGTCATCTATAAAGAATGAATTTTGCATAAATAAATGCGTCTTTGAACTGCAGTTATCACTTCTCACCTCCTTTAAAACCAAATTTAAAAATAGCCTCCATAAAAAAGCTTCAAGAAAAAAACATTTTTTTCCTTCATAAGAGCGTTCGGCACGGTTAATTTAGATCGCCGCTATTATTAAGTTATGTTGATGGCTGATATTTGGTTATTAATTCATAATTTTTTTAAGTTATGCATTTATTATAACCGTATAATAAATGCACCGTATACTTGGGTCGTCGCTTCTATTGAGTTATCTATTGAGTATATTTGTTATATTTATTTTAATATAATAAAAAAGATTAATTGTTCTCTTCAGGCGCATACGGCACCGTATACTTCTGTCGTCGCTAATATAAAATTATCTATGAGTATTTATATTATTAATATAAGAAATATCCCTCCCTCTCTTCAGGCGCATACGGCACCGTATACTTTGGTCGCCACTAATATTAAGCTATATTGATGGCTGTCATTAGGTTATTAATTACTAATTTTATTAGGTAATGCATTTATTATAATAAGAAATATTCATCCCTTCAGAGGCATACGGCACCGTATACTTGGGCCATCGCTGCTATTGAGGTTTTGTATCGAACTCTAATATTAAGTTATATTTAGGATATTTATGCTATTATAATGAGAAATATCCCTCCATCCCTTCAGGCGCATACGGCACCGTATACTTGGGTCGTCGCTTCTATTGAGTTATTTATTGAGTATATTTGTTATATTTATTTTATTATAATAAAAATTATTAATTGTTCCCTTCAGGCAGGTGCATACGGCACCGTATACTTGATCGCCGCTTTTATTGAGTTATTTATTGAACTCTAATATTAAATTATATTTGCATATTTATATTATTAATATAAAAAATATCCCTCCATCCCTTCAGGCGCATACGGCACCGTATACCTGGGCCGCGACCTGAGCGAGCGCGGGCGCTACGTCGCCCTCAAGAAGATCAAGATCACGCTCACTGACGACGGCATGCCTGTGAGCGCCGTCAGGGAGATCTCGCTGCTCAAACAACTAGAGACATTCAAACATCCTAACGTCGTCAGGTGGGTTGTGGTGGGTGATAGTGGGTTGTGGTGGGTGTAGTGGGTTGTGCTAGAGACCTTCAAGCATCCCAACGTCGTCAGGTGGGTTGTGGTGGGTGATAGTGGGTTGTGGTGGGTGCTAGTGGGTTGTGCTAGAGACCTTCAAGCATCCCAACGTCGTCAGGTGGGTTGTGCTGGGTGCTGGTGGGTGATAGTGGGTTTTGGTGGGTGCTAGTGGGTTGTGGTGGGTGCTAGTGGGTTGTGCTGGGTGCTAGTGGGTTGTGCTGGGTGCTAGTGGGTTGTGCTGGGTGCTAGTGGGTTGTGCTAGAGACCTTCAAGCATCCCAACGTCGTCAGGTGGGTTGTGGTGGGTGATAGTGGGTTGTGGTGGGTGCTAGTGGGTTGTGCTGGGTGCTAGTGGGTTGTGCTGGGTGCTAGTGGGTTGCGGTGGGTGATAGTGGGTTGTGCTAGAGACCTTCAAGCATCCCAACGTCGTCAGGTGGGTTGTGCTGGGTGCTAGTGGGTTGTGGTGGGTGATAGTGGGTTGCGGTGGGTGATAGTGGGTTGTGTTAGAGACCTTCAAGCATCCCAACGTCGTCAGGTGGGTGCTAGTGGGTTGTGCTGGGTGCTAGTGGGTTGTGCTGGGTGATAGTGGGTTGTGGTGGGTGCTAGTGGGTTGTGTTGGGGGCTAGTGGGTTGTGCTGGGTGATAGTGGGTTGTGTTGGGTGATAGTGGGTTGTGTTGGGTGATAGTGGGTTGTGTTGGGTGATAGTGGGTTGTGTTGGGTGATAGTGGGTTGTGCTCGAGACCTTCAAGCATCCCAACGTCGTCAGGTGGGTTGTGGTGGGTGATAGTGGGTTGTGGTGGGTGCTAGTGGGTTGTGGTGGGTGCTAGTGGGTTGTGGTGGGTGATAGTGGGTTGTGTTGGGTGGTCAGGTGTGTTGTGCTGGGTGATAGTGGGTTGTGCTAGAGACCTTCAAGCATCCCAACGTCGTCAAGTTGGTTGTGGTGGGTGATAGTGGGTTGTGGTGGGTGCTAGTGGGTTGTGCTAGAGACCTTTAAGCATCCTAACGTCGTCAGGTGTGTTGTGCTGGGTGATAGTGGGTTGTGCTAGAGACCTTCAAGCATCCCAACGTCGTCAAGTTGGTTGTGGTGGGTGATAGTGGGTTGTGGTGGGTGCTAGTGGGTTGTGGTGGGTGCTAGTGGGTTGTGGTGGGTGCTAGTGGGTTGTGGTAGAGACCTTCAAGCATCCCAACGTCGTCAAGTGGGTTGTGGTGGGTGCTAGTGGGTTGTGATATGCTCCCTGTGGGTTGTGTTGTGTGTTATGTTGTTTTCCCTGTGGGTTATGTTGCGCCCTAGTTGCATATTTTGTGTCCCAGTGGGTTGTGTTTTGCGCCAGTGGACTTTGTTTTACCCCAGTGGACTTTGTTTTGCCCTAGTGGGGATTGTTTTGCTGCAGTGGGTTCAATTGTGCCCCTAACTGTGGGTTGTGTTTCGTCCCTGTGGGTTGTGTTGTCCCCCAGTTTATTTACCCCCCCCCCCTAGTGGGCTTCATAGCACTACAGTTTTGTGAGAGGTGGTGGAAGAGTCGTACATGTATCATATTTTTAACCCTCCTGTGTTGTGCATCCAAGCACTACAACGGTAGGAATGTCGCAGGGTTTGAGCAGGTTTGCTCATACGCTGGCGGTAAGGTCGCATCAGACGCTGATTTGACGCAAAATCAGCGTCTGGGGCGACCTTGGCAGATCCACCGTTAACAATCGGTGGATATATCACTGGAAAACCCGTCTTATTTTCTAGCTGTTTTGCTTCATGCATGTTCTGGTATATTATCTTGGAATTGGTTTTCCACATGGCAACAAAGATAATCAGAAATGCAGGTTAACAAGAAGGTTGAAGCACTTTAATATCCAAATAAATATTGAAATATTAGTAAATCACGAAAGGATTTCGTGTTTCTGAACTGACCTTGCTTAAGGATATGCAGTTTTTCTTCATATTAAAAGCTTTTTTAGAATTATTTCGTAACTTTAATATTAATGGCGAGTATCGCTTCATAACTATTATATTTCATGCGTTCAGACCGCAATCAGAAAGAACTGCAAGTTCCATAGATTATATATTATAGGGGCGTTACACAGACCTTCATGAAACTATTATAATTGTACATTTTATTATCATTTTCATCGAATATGATCGTAGAATTGTACACATGTTTATAGAATGAGTTAGTATTTTCATCGTCTTATATAAATGCTATACGCCCCCTAAACCTGCCGTGTTCATGCTATACTCAACAATTTATATCCTGAGTTGCCCCGTATTTTAGTCCCGTATTCTGACTTCGTATTCTAGCGATGTATCCTAGCCCCGTATCTTGTCCTTTTACTCTAGCCCAGTATCCTAGACCCGTATCTTAGCCCCGTATCTTGTCCTTTTATTCTAGCCCCGTATCCTAGCCCCGTATCTTGTCCTTTTATTCTAGCCCCGTATCCTAGCCCCGTATCTTAGCCCCGTATCTTGTCCTTTTATTCTAGCCCCGTATCCCAGACCCGTATCTTAGCCCCGTATCTTGTCCTTTAATTCTTATAGCCCGTATTTTGGTCCCGTATTCTAGCCCACATCCTGGCCCCGTATTTTAGCCCGTATCCTAGCCCCGTATCCTTCCCCNTTATTTTGGAGGTCTCACTCTCAAAGTTGGGAGCCAGTCCGTTTATCATCTTCCAAGTGTACAGTATGATATACTTTTCTCTTCTTCTATCCAATGAGTACAGTTCCAGGTGTTTCAGCCTTCCCCAGTAGTTCAGGTTCAGCTCCCTCATGCCGCTGATCCTGTACGTGAAGGTCCGCTGCACCGGAGCCGTAACTGGCTATACTGTAGCCGTAACGGGCCGTACAGGAGCCGTAACAGGCCGTAACGGGCCGTTCAGGAGCCGTAACGGGAGTTGCCAAGTTTAAAGGCCGCCATAGGAGCTGCGATATGAGGAGCAGGTGCGGCGATAGCGGGAGCAGCTGCCGCTGTGCAGCTGCTGCTGCTACTACCTCAAGGCAGGGTGGCCCAGTGGTTACAGTTCAGAGTACTAAGACTAGAGCAAAAAGTTGTGGGTTCGATCCCAGCTACCTTCTACACTATACTATACTACACTACTGCTGCTGCTGCTGCCGCTGCTGCTGCTGCTGCTGCTGCTCTTTTTGTCGCGTCTGCTGCTGTCGCCGTGCAGCTGTCGTGCTGCTGTTCGCTAAGCAGCTGCTGCGGTCCGACGCTGCCTGAAATTACGTCAGGAATTAAAGAGATGCTAGGGGAGTTGGGGAAGAGAAATATGGGGAGATTGGGGTGTAGGGCAACAAGTGTGAGAAGGAAATGACGTTGTTGTGGATGGGGAAGTGAAAGTGGGGCGGGTAGGGGAAGGGGGTGGCATGTTTCCCCGGTAGGCCTATCCTGTGGTGTTGGTTTAGGACCACGGAATGAAGCCGTTGTCGTTGCTTTCTTCCTGTTTACTGCTTTAGCGATTACTGGCTTGTAGGAGTAACGGTGGAGTGAAGGAAATGGGACGTACGGGGCTAACGCGGCTACAACTACACACTTCCAACGCCATACTTAATTCCAACTCTAAAGTTACACCACCACACTATTAGATCATCACAATGTTACAACGTCTAGCTGCTATTACCTCACAGTTACACCCCCAATTTCGAGTTTGCAGTTGCGATAAATTATAACCTGTCTGCAATTAAATCGTGAATCCACCCTAACAGGCTTCCTCCTACCTTCAACAGCCTCAGCTTTCTGTAGAGCATCCATTTGGCAACTTTTTTTTAAAGCTTCAGCAAAGTCCGGGTTACTACGTCCACGCCAGCTCCCTCCTCCAGTAGGGCCACAAAGCGGTGTTGGTGCACCAATAACTGTAACAATCAGGATCAGTTTCGTCGAAAACCGCTTTTTCTATTATTATAAAGTTTTATAGTCACTTTCACATAATGGACAAGCCTCGTGACCACTACTTTCACGATCACCTTGATCACCTGTGAGGACAAGGTCATTGGTATTTAATTTTGGGGTCTGTCCCTCGGACCTCCTTCGTGGATTGGCGTTATTATCAATTATTGGTACCGGTATAGTATAGTTAGGCAGAGGATTTTCATTCTCAAGCAATTGAAGGTTTTACAGCACTAAAATTTGAAATTGCATAACTAAATATTTTTTTGGAATACGGAATCAAATAATAAGATGAATTTTGATCATCAATTTTAATTATTATTTTATAATGTAAAATTAATCAATAATAATTATTATTTGAGCATCATTCTATCAACTGCTCACATATGGTTTGCCCATTGAACGTAGCGGGCCGTACAGGAGCCGTAACGGGCCGGACAGGAGCCATAACTGGCTATACTGTAGCCGTAACGGGCCGTACAGGAGCCGTAACGGGCCTTACCTTATGACCTTACCTTATGATGAGTTCGGGACTTCCTAGTTCCCGGTCACGCTGATGCGCCGCCTTCGTCGTCCTCCGTCTCCGAGTCGTCTAAGTGTGAGAAGGAAATGATGTTGGAGTGGATGGGGAAGTGAGAGTGGGGCGGGTAGGGGAAGGGGGTGGCATGTTTCCCCGGTAGGCCTATCCTGTGGTGTTGGTTTGGGACCACGGAATGAAGCCGCTGTCGTTGCTTTCTTTCTGTTTACTGTTTTAGTGATTACCGGCTTGTAGGAGTAACGGTGGAGTGAAGGAAATGGGACGGGACTAACGCGGCTACACACATCCTAAGCCATGCTTCCAAATCCAAAGTTATACCCCCAAATTATTATATCACCACACTGTTACATCACCACACTCTTACATCACCATTCACCACACTGTTATATCACCACACTGTTACATCAACGCACTGTTACTTCAACACACTGTTATATCACCACACTCTTACATCAACACACTGTTACTTCAACACAGTTATATCACCACACTATAACATCACCTAACTGCTATTACCTCACAGTTACAGCCCCAATTTCGAGTTTGCAGTTGCGATAAATTGTAACCTGTCTGCAATTAAATCGTGAACCCACCCTAACAGGCTTCCTCCTACCTTCAACAGCTTCAGCTTTCTGAAGAGCATCCAATTGGCAACTTTTTTTTAAAGCTTCAGCAAAGTCCGGGTTACTACGTCCACGCCAGTTCCCTCCTCCAGTAGGGCTACAAGGCGGTCATTGTGCACCAAAAACTTGACAAACAGGATCAGTTTCGTCGAAAATCGTATTGTCTATTATTATAAAGTCTATAGCCACTTCCATATAATGGACAAGCCTCGTATCCCATACTTTCTCAAACACCTTTATTCTTTATTCTTTATTTAGAAGGTCATTGGTATTTAATTTTGGGGTCTCTCCCTCGGATCTCCTTCGTGGATTGGCGTTGAGGCCTTTAGGAATAATTCCATCCATCACCGAGGTCTTCCAGAGCATTGTGAGGGAGCCTTCAGTGCTCCGACAGACTTCTTCAGCAGTATTGCCGGAACTCCATCTGGTTGTGATGCTGAAAATTTCGCCAGTTCTTTGATGTTTTTTTCTATGTATTCCGGCATAAACTCTATGTTCTCCAACTCCCTTCCCTCTGGTATAGAAGCTCCTTTAGGTCTTCGATTTCATTCTCCTGTCTCGAATAGCGGAGGTTACTTTACTGCACACTGATTCCAAGTGCAATAAGTCAGTTGAAATATGTCACACTTTTTCCAAATAGCTGTGCACTCTTTGGTCTTATGTGTGGGTCATCCTGACCCAGTTAGGTCCGACAAAAGGGCGTGTCAGTGCTGCAAGCGCTCTTTTCTCGGGCCTAAGAAGTGGGTCACTATTTGGACGATATGACGCACTTATTCTTTTGAGTAGAGCAAATGTTAGGGCCTGAAGTTGTGGGAGTGTGGGGTTACTACTCCCTCTTGGGTCACTTTACAAGTCGTTTTCGTTGATTTTAGGTGATGAAACTTGAAGTTGTCTTTCACCCAATACTCTTTATTCATGATAATCCTACAGTGCTTTGGCTGATAGGTAAAATCCTTTTCGTTTTTGCCCCTTCGTGGATGCAACCATCCTCACCCAACACACTCGTATTTTTACACTTACCACACTCCTTGTTACACCCTCCTGTAGTCACACCCCCACAAAGTTACACCAACACACAGTCACACCCCCACGCAGTCACACCACCCCCACACAGTTACACCACCCCTACAGCTACATACCTCACAGTCACCTCCCCCTCGTTAGGCAGTTACAGTTAATTACGTCCCCCAGTGTCGGGGTTATCTCCCCAGGGAGAGGATGTGGTATCTGCACCACCTCCGCCCTTATTGGTGGTGTGTTGTGCCCTTATTGGTGGTGTGTTGTGCCCTTATTGGTGGTGTGTTGTGCCCTTATTGGTGGTGTGTTGTGCCCTTATTGGTGGTGTGTTGTGCCCTTATTGGTGGTGTGTTGTGCCCTTATTGGTGGTGTGTTGTGCCCTTATTGGTGGTGTGTTGTGCCCTTATTGGTGGTGTGTTGTGCCCTTATTGGTGGTGTGTTGTGCCCTTATTGGTGGTGTGTTGTGCCCTTATTGGTGGTGTGTTGTGCCCTTATTGGTGGTGTGTTGTGCCCTTATTGGTGGTGTGTTGTGCCCTTATTGGTGGTGTGTTGTGCCCTTATTGGTGGTGTGTTGTGCCCTTATTGGTGGTGTGTTGTGCCCTTATTGGTGGTGTGTTGTGCCCTTATTGGTGGTGTGTTGTGCCCTTATTGGTGGTGTGTTGTGCCCTTATTGGTGGTGTGTTGTGCCCTTATTGGTGGTGTGTTGTGCCCTTATTGGTGGTGTGTTGTGCCCTTATTGGTGGTGTGTTGTGCCCTTATTGGTGGTGTGTTGTGCCCTTATTGGTGGTGTGTTGTGCCCTTATTGGTGGTGTGTTGTGCCCTTATTGGTGGTGTGTTGTGCCCTTATTGGTGGTGTGTTGTGCCCTTATTGGTGGTGTGTTGTGCCCTTATTGGTGGTGTGTTGTGCCCTTATTGGTGGTGTGTTGTGCCCTTATTGGTGGTGTGTTGTGCCCTTATTGGTGGTGTGTTGTGCCCTTATTGGTGGTGTGTTGTGCCCTTATTGGTGGTGTGTTGTGCCCTTATTGGTGGTGTGTTGTGCCCTTATTGGTGGTGTGTTGTGCCCTTATTGGTGGTGTGTTGTGCCCTTATTGGTGGTGTGTTGTGCCCTTATTGGTGGTGTGTTGTGCCCTTATTGGTGGTGTGTTGTGCCCTTATTGGTGGTGTGTTGTGCCCTTATTGGTGGTGTGTTGTGCCCTTATTGGTGGTGTGTTGTGCCCTTATTGGTGGTGTGTTGTGCCCTTATTGGTGNCTCATGCCCCTCTCGTGATTCTCTCATGAACCTTTTTCATGCCATTCCCGGCCTCTCATGCCCTCTCTCATGATCCCTTCTCATGCCCCCTTTCACAGTATGGCATGGTAGTATATAGTATAGTAATATCGGCGTATAATATAACAGGACAAGTTTAATGTTCTTCACTTGTCTCCTGGACATCTAAGAACTGGCCTTTTGAACGAATCTATCCAATACTTACGTAGAAGCTAAGTAGCTGCTGAACATCCACCAATTTGTGAGGTGGGAGGCACTTTTAGTCGAAACAAACTTGTGCATAGCTACATGTCCCTTGTTATGTACCTCTCATATAAGGCTGTACCGACATAATAGGTTTGCTCTAGCATGCCTACGTACCGACGTCAACATTCCTTTGCAAATTCTACGTCGCTTTGCATTAAAACTTCGTGTTTATTTGTTAAATAAACTCCCCGGTCGTAATGCCGTAATTACGACCGTAATTTTATCCCCGGTCGTAATGTCGTCACGAAACATAATGACATAATAATTTATTCAAATTAATCTTGAATTAATCCACGAAAACCTTTTCATCAATCAATAAACGTGGTCAGCAACAACCTACGCAAACGTTGTTGTCAATATATGCGCGTAGGTGATGTTAACGTTGATTATCGTGACCGTTGTTGTCAGTAAGGTGTGTGAACGTTATCACAGGGGGTGATAACAACTTTCACAAATTCTGTCTAACCTTCTCTGGCTGCCAAAGCCTGCGAAAAACCTAGCCTTCTCTAGCTTGCAGAAGCCCTAACCTGCAGAAGCCCTAACCTGCAGAAGCCCTAACCTGCAGTAGCCCTAACCTGCAGAAGACCTAACCTGCAGAGGCCCTAACCTGCAGAAGCCCTAACCTGCAGAGGCCCTAACCTGCAGAAGCCCTAACCTGCAGAAGCCCTAACCTGCAGAAGCCCTAACCTGCAGAAGCCCTAACCTGCAGAAGCCCTAACCTGCAGAAGCCCTAACCTGCAGAAGCCCTAACCTGCAGAGGCCCTAACCTGCA